CATGTGTGTTTTTAGGACGGATTTCAGTTATTCACTCATTCAGGCCAGAATCCAAAGGCAACAAAAAATCAACCTCACTTATTCAGGCCAAAATCCAAACGCAGCAGAAAAGTAAATCGATAAAGCCCCTAGAAGAACTAGTGCTCTGCGAAAAAATCTCAATAAATTCTACATATATTTTGTTTTCATGTATTGATTTCCATGCTTGATGGTCCCCAAATTCTTGGTTCAAAAAATTAAACGTCATGCATCTTCACATCTTTCTTTAACTTTTTTTCAAACTTTTTTAAATCGAAGAAATAAGTTCAGTGTCCATTAACATGTAAAGATTTTTCTCCTTTTCTGTCCGTACTCTTCTAGCAAATAACTTTTTCAAAAACGCACTTTCCAATCCATCACACGTCATTCAATCCTCCTCTCGCAACCTCGACAGAACCATTGAAGCGTAAAAATCGCATCACAACCTTGTCAAAGAACCGAGCAGAAAAAAGTTCCCCTTCGCTCAAAATCCCTCTCAACACGTATACCCAGGATATAAACACTCATTACATACCAGATCAATTCTGTGTTTTTATTCAATCTCATGCATAAATCCGCATGTTCCCATGTAAATCCCTATCAGATACTGCTATGGCACGTTTCTCCATAGCAACTGTGTGGCTCACGTATATGTAATAAGAATTACCACAGTATGGGAAAAGTGTCCAGACGCTTTGACTAAGGACTTGAGCACAAACCAGCGCTACAATCCATACAATTTCAATAATAAAATATTTGGAAATCAAAGAAAAAGTCCGAAATTACTATTTTAAACTACTTCTAAATGACTTTGCACCAATAAAAAATCTTGAAAACCGCCATAATCCCCACTCTACCCCCCAAATATCCATTTTCAGATGGCTAGAGCTACTCTCCCTCGCTCGCTTGCTTCCTTCTTTTCTGTCTAGTCCGCTCCGCTGCGCTCAACAAAGCGGCCCTCAGGGAGCATACAGCTAGAGACTAGCAAACGCTGAGGCTTCGGATTTCGATGTGCTGAGTTGAAATGGAAAAAAATGCAGAGGAAATGAGTAGCTTCAAAGAATGAGCAGCGCGCACGTGGATTAGGTATGCACCGCAAATATTTCCTGAAGAGAGCTTCAAGGAGTGGGAAGGGAGAAGTAGTCCAAATATTTGAGTGACGTTCTCAAGAATGGCATTTGCGAAAAAAAAATGACTAGTGGAGCAAAGCCATAAAAAATAGGCTAGATACAAGAAAATAGGAAAGCCAAAAATTGAAAAATATTTGAACTATATCTTCATTCAATGAAATGTATGCCTAAAACCATTAACATTTAAGCTAATGGATTTTCCTTCTTTGGATACACCAACAACATTTCCCCTTCCCCACAGCAAGACTTTGCGATCATATAGGATAACGAAGAGGTGGAATTCAAAAAGAAGTTTTCGAAAAATAAACTAATCTCTTATGTAAGATACACTGCATAAGGCTTGAGTTCTTCACATTCATCCATATTTGAAATTTTTCCTTCCTCAGATATAAACACCTCGCTTCTCACCAACCTTCTCCAATCCCCCTATCCCATTCCCTAGCAAGGCAAAAATCTTATCTCTGCCGGCAGCTGGTTAGCTCTAATGATTAGAAAAGTAGCACTGCCGCATATCCCTTTAGATAAAAACCATCCATATGAGCTTGAACGATTTTGAACCATATGCCAGTACCGATAGAGCAGATATCATTTTTGAAAATTACTCGACCCCTATTAGCATACGGGCTGGGTAGGCCTCTAACCAAAAACTGGACGAAATTTGTTCACTGGTAACCGGTTGCCTAGTTCAAACTACAGCTATTTTGGGTCACATAAAGAATGAAATGAGTCAGCGAAATTGGCGAATGCTCAAGAAAACAGGTCTATGATATAGAAACTATCAGGACCCAACACATGACATAGAACCTAGTTTGACCCAACAAACCCTTCTCATTCCCAAACTCACAAACAATCCCAATATCTCATTTATAGTAAGAAAAATTCTCAAAAACCCACCTGTAAAGCTTCCCAGACTAATTGCAAAAAGCATTTAGGTGGATGTGGTGGGATTTCGTTCGCACCGAATACGGCACGCCGTCGTTCCAATTCGGTAGATGTATTCGGTATACCGTTGTTTGGGTCGGTTTTCAGCCGTTCACATAAACCCGTGATACCGCCATAGTCGGCGTCGATCTTTTCTTTTGCTTCCGCACCCCTAAAAGAAGAATTTGAGATGAGATGAGAAAATGATGTTGATGAGTCAGTTGGCTATTGGCCATGATCGATGGCGAAATATAAATAGACTAGAGAAAAAATGTTTGGTGATTCATGACTGTGACACTCTTTTGCAATGTCATGCCTGCAACATTCAGAAGTGAAAAATGTAATTTTAACACGAAAATGTGCGCACTTTCCCGGAAGTCTTTACGGAACTAATTCACGAAAGATTGTAACTTTGATGCTGGAAAATACCACTCCGCAATGAAGAAATGCTTTGGCTCGATTCTCTTGCCTTAGTCTTCC